CAAATAATCCAGAACCATCTTTAACCTCTTTTGGAGCCCACACAACCTAGAACGCAGCTGTATCAACCAAATCTGCCACTACCAGCTCACACTTGTTAAGAACCTACACTGACCTACACTCAATACTCTCTCCAATCTGATGCCCAAGCACCCCACATTGAGTATAGTAGGGCAAGACATTCATATAATACACAAATAATGCCATATCCTCGCCCCCTTTTGGTCTAATCCAAAAATATTATAGGAAAGAGGAAGTAGCCGCCAACTCAATACACATTTTAATTGTTCTAATTTGCAAACTCATTTTAATTTCCTAATCCATCCACAAAGGCAGACCAAGCATACTAGTAACCCTACTAAGCCCCTCCACTATAAGATATTATAGATATAACCTTTAATACGAACCAAAGGTGGTAACACCCCAGATTCAGAGCCATTGATTGAATACCAAGGTTCCATTTCCCACAAACAGTGGATTGTTCGCACAATGTCACATGTCATTCTCAAGAAGCCATTTGCACAACTCACTGTAAGGGAGTTAAAAGAGATAGAGGTTTCAATCACCTGCAAAACATAAACCCAACTTCCTTCCCCCAGAAATTTTGAGCCCACCATTAAATCATGAACAAACTTAAAGCTTTCTACAGAAATTACCCCACCGAATAATTTTGTCATCTAATAGCACTTTCCTCGCGAACCCACTGTGAAATCACAAGATCTCCATCAATCAGTGTTGGAGGCACATATCTCAAGCGAGTACCATCACCCACTCCAATCTACACCCAATTCGCATGTGGTTGATTGGCCAGAACGACCATCCCCTCCGATCACAATTAGGGTTTCACTCAAGAATAGAGAGATAGAAGAGAGTGATATGGCACGGTCAACTCCTATTGTTTGCAAGCAATATTGCCTTATCTTCTGGAGAGAAAATAGTTAGCTATTCTGCCATGCTCAATTTGGGTATGCTTCCTAGTTAGGGTTGAATATGTAGAAGGACATAAGTGGAGGCAAGTTCGTACCGAAATTTTTGACTTGCTTTGCAGGGTTCTTTGGCACATCACCACTTGCTAGCAATAAGTAAATCAAACTTAGAAACTCGACATAAATAAAACGATGATGTTTAACGAAATACTGAGGAATCAAATGAAACATTTCCCACGGTGAAACATTCAATCCCACGGTTCATGCTCTGCCACTTTGTTCTTAATAAACTGATGAACTCTACCCTACTATTGTTCTTCTTGTTAATTCATATCGATAACTACCTTTTACTACAACACATCCCTGCAGACTGTTTCGTGAACTTTTTTAAGAGTGTGTTCATTAAGATGCAAAAAGTACAACACATAATACAAAAAGATAATGAAAATCACACCCAAAGCCCATAAACCCAATAGGACCCCAAACAAAGGCCACAATAGGTAACAATAATCAAACATTAGTTGCACTGTGTCCCCTCTGAATTAGCCACCGCCGCTGAACAAAGGCAAGCGCACATACAAGATACGGATCATCCAAGCATGATGGATCCAAAGGGCAGCGGAAGCAATGGACGCCTCCAGCAATCCACACTGGCCAGACCGCCCAAACCAAAGACAAAGAAAAACCTTAGATAGGAATGGCGGTTGATGAGTGAGACTGAGGGATATCTTCACTCCGATTCTAGGCAGAGGGCCACATCTCTGAAACACCCGAAAATGCAAGGTGAAGCGAGGTAGACAAAGAGGGTGAGGAAGAGAAGGCAAGCCCAATCAAACTAGACCTAACCTCCTTTGTGTTTTAGATCAGATTCATCTACATATATGAAAGATCATATTAGAGGATCAAAATCTTAACCTAACAAAGGGAGGAAGGAGACCCACAAAGAGGGCAAAATTAGCCAAACCATGTCCGAATTTTCATAAAATGAAAGAAAGGGGAAGCAAGGATAAAACAAGAAGAGCGTAAGTGGAAAAGAAGTCAAAATGAAAATATGGAAGGGGGATTGGGCTGGCGCCGGTCACCTAAAGGTGGCGAAGGCACATTGGTAGGCCCAATTTGTCCATCTTGTAATTTGGTTGATATCAACTTAATTCTTTCGTGGACAAAATTTTCAAGTCAGTATCCACTTTGTAAATAACGTATTTTTATCAGTCCTGATTTGATCCTCTTCGTGATAAACTAAACAACAGTCGCTATGTACTACGTCTTCTCATAGCAAACCACATTTTCTACGATTTTAAATTTTTTCATATTGTCATAATAAAAGGTAACTGGTATTGTTACTTTAAAACCCAATTCTCATTTATCATTTTCACCATTAGATTTCACATACCTGGTAGGCGAGTCTTTCTGCTTCTTAGCTACTTTCAAACTTAGATGAGGAACTAGACATTGTTTCAGCTTCTTTGCATTCCATGTGACAAGGGAATCTCTTAAGAAAGTACAATGTCTTGACATTGAATGTATGGTATATGTAAAAGCAGCCCAATCAACATAATAGTACCCTCTTAATGCTAAGTCAATAGTTTATTTGAAGTTTAAACCTTGCCCTTGTGTTATTTTCAAGTACCGTTGCACCTTATAAATAGTTTGCATATGTTTATCTTGTGGCTATGATTTTATATTGCCACATTTGATGAATTGGAAAATGAAAATATGATTTGTTTATGGAGCCTCCATACCAACCTTTTATAACATCCAGGGTCTTCTAATAACTTGGCATTAGTAGCACTCAACTTCACCTTATGATATTTTGTTAGTTGTGGCAAAGGGGATTGGTTTTAGTTCGTAAGATTGTCGTGCCTTCTGATGTTTCTCCTTTTGTCTACCTCCTTACTTCCTCCAGCATATCTTGATTATGAAGTGATATTATTAGCCCTCCATTTTGATCTAGCTCGGACTCAGATGAAGATCAGAAGCAAAGACTCGATCTCCATGGTTTCAGTTGTTGGTTGCCCATCATGTTGTTGTCCTCCTCTCCAACATGGTGTTGGATTGAAGCTTCCGATGGTGAATCGTCATCCTCTGTTCCAGGTTTCTATTGTTTGCCTCCCATGTAGCTGGGGTTGAAACTCGATCAGACCCAATTTATAGAACTAACCCGCCCAGCCCTTATTTCCTTTTTGATCCTGTATGACCCTCTAAGGTCGGGTCAATTCAGATCGGGTCGAGCAGTGGGTCAGCGCAAATCAATCAACATACTGATTTTTGGAAATTATATTTTGGTACACATATTTTTTCTTACTATTTAGCAGCTTAACATTAATTTTTGGGTAAATACAATATAATGCCAAACCTTTCATTTAAAACAAAATAATAGCCAAACATTTTTTAAAACAATTTAAGAGACAAACTACCAACTTTTCGTCCGGTAGACTGTTAGTTTACTTCGACATGACAAATCAATGATGATGTGGCAAAAATTCCATCGTTTGACTGTGTCACATAAATATATATTAAGTTTAATTAATTATTATTCAAATAAAATTAAAAAAACGGAACCCAGGTATCTCTTCTCTTCCTCTCCCTCTCTCTCCTCCATCCAATTCTCTTCCCCTCCCTTCCTCAACTCGAATCCATCTTCCCTCAAGCGAATCCTCCATTCATATCCTAGTGATCGATTCAGTTCCATAAGCTTTGATTTTAGGAATCTCTCCTGAGGCAGAGACGACGAATTTCACTATTTAATAGCAAGCAAAAAAGGGCAAGACCGGCGGTGGAGGCTTTGAAGAAGACGGATTCAGTGCATGTCAGTGGGATGCCTAGGGTTTCAGCCAGCGGTATCACTCACACCATCGCCTCCATGAGAACCCCTTGGACGAAGACCTAACTCAAGGAGAAGGGAAAGAGTTGGTCTTTCATCGACGAAGACCAAAAACAACAAGAATAATGATAGAAAATGAAGCTTCGACGAGGTTATGCAGAACCCATCCCTAAAACCAGTAATACGAGGACGTGGGGTGCTTGTTTTGATAAAAGTACGCAGCAACAATCAATCAAAGAAGAACCTTGATTGAACGAATAAAACGAACCAAAAACATATTGTTCTTGGGTGTTTGAGATAATACGGAACCAAACGTGCAATTCCATACCTAGGGAAAGGCTCGATTGGTATAAGAATAGATGCCCGACCACGATTCAAGTGACTATTCAATCGATACAAGAGCTCACGAGTTTGGAATCCATGAAACTCAACACAAGTATGCAAACTTGCCAAAACCCAAATGTTTCAATTCAATTCATCAAAGTCTATGTTTTACAACGAAATAGAAAGCTTAAATAGGCCTAGCTAGGATTACACACGTCCTCATAAGCCCTAGTTACAATCTAACACAAATAAGAACTAAAAAATAGCAAAATAAACTAATCCTAATTTAACTATGAAAACCAATTCAGTTTTACAAAGGATAATTTCTGTGGTTTTGGATGATCTTTGTGTCCTTCGTTAGAGGCCTTCCAGATCTCCAAACTTTCATCAAATTCCTTCCCTTTGTAAAAAAAACATACATATTTTCATGTTGTGGAAGCCTTTGGACTCGAATCAGATCCATGCTCTCCAAATTGAGCTCCAAAGTAGGCTTCACAGTCACGTTTCTAGACTCGGCCATTTTCAGACAGTTTTCTTGTTTGGAGAGGGCAACTTAAGGCTTTGTAAAACAAACTTAATGACTTCTTCTGGATCCAAAAACCATGCCATCTTGTAGAGAGAAATGTTATATTCAAAACAAGCTCTTAACCTCCAATTTTCAGTGAGCCAATTATCAGAACCAAGCTTCCAACGTAAGCTACCTTAAACTGTTCCAACACTTAGCCAAATTCTGCCTCTTTTCTTTCCAACCTTGATGGCTTCTTTGGCAAGTAATTGCGACTCGTAGAATTGGCCAAGTTGGATCATATCAACCAGGGTTGTTGATATGTCTCCCTTCCTCTCGTTTCATCAAAATCCAAAAATTCGATGATCTGGCTCCCTTCCCCTCATTCCTCTCTTTACAAATTTGGCAGCAACAGGATTCTGAATGATAAAGCAGAGGGTGACACTAGCAAGCGTATCTCCGTTGAGCTCTCACCTGACTTACTGCTCGTTTCTTTACATATTTGAGCCTTCCCTTACCAAGGCAGATCGAGAGTCGGCAAAGAGGGTAAAGGGCACTGGTGGTGTCGGTGGTTTAGTCAGGGATTTTGAAGTATATGGCAACATGGGACTTAGCGGCGAGGTTGTAGACCTCTTCCAGACGGTTGGAACATGGCATGGATTTGTTGTCAGACTGGTTGTGAAGTTACTCGAGATCCGCAAAGGACGACTGGGCATCGGACAGCGACAGGGTTATGGAAAGAGGACGGATCAGGAAAGGGGTTGATTGACGAGAAGGGGAGTTGAGTTGCGAAGAACAAGGATTGGTTATTGAAAGTATCACATTGAGAATTTTCATCATTTAATTTACTCATATCATTATTTATCTAGATTAAATTTATTTATTTTTCTGAGAAAAAAATAGATTTTAATAATATCCATGTGGCATGGTCAAATGTCTGACTTCTTGCCACATCATAAAAAATCATCTAGCTCACTTAAAATTATGCCACATCAGATTCAACTAATAGTCAACTGAACGAAAAGTTGATGGTTTGGCTATTAAATTAATTTTGAAAAATTTTGACTATTATATTATATTTACCCTTAATTTTTTTACAAACATGTCCAAAAATTTTGTTGGTAAAATAACATATTAGTGCCTTATATGTTTATCTTATATTATATTACCTAAACTTTTAAAACTTTACAAACATGTTTAATGTGTTGGTACAATGAATTTCATTTCTCTGGCTGTTGCTATAGACTATAGTCATAGGACCAAAACTAACCCTACCCTAACCGATTCTTACAAGATCAAAATATGACACAACTCTAATCTAACCTTACAGACAAAATGACTCAATCCAACCCTTAGGGTCGGATCGAACCGGACTGACTCAGTGAATATCAAGAAACCAGACTTACAACCCTACAAGGAACAGTTGCAGCAAGTTCATCCACAATGATCATATATAAGAATCTCAAAGACAGTAGTGTTCTGGTCAAGCCTGCAATCAATGAGGTTATACAGCTACTCAGCTAGGGCCTGGGGAAAAAAATAATCACCATGCACACGAGCGCTACACACATACACGACCAAGATAAATAATGGTGGAAGAGAGAGAGATGATGGCATCCACATTTCCTACAGTTTCTCCCCCAACCCACGAATGATGATGATGATATGATCATGATTTTCTTAATTGATCCATGACCATGCATGCATTCCCACATCAGGACATGCACTCCCTTTTTACCACCACCCACAACTCTATTTTAATTCTTTCATTCTTTTCTATTTTGTTCCATTTGTATATTATTATCAATATTATCATCAATTATCGTTTGATTCTTTAGATACTGCCTATCATCAAACTTGTATCACGATATAGATTCTATTAAAAACATTACAAATCTTCTAACTGTATTTCGTACGTTATTGTATATTCGTGATTCTGAGAATTTCATTTCCTACCTTGAAGGAGAACAAAAAAGAAGAGCAAGTATGTATGATCGACCAACAAAACCCCACTTTCCCTCCACAAAGATTAGGGGACAAAGTCCTAACTAATTATGAGTATTTAATTTTGAAATTTCCTTTCATGAAAAGAGAGAGAGGGGGGAAATAAAGGGAGGAACACAACTTATAATTGAAATGCATGCCTTTCAATCTGATCAAGAATCTCTCCCACTACTACCCTCTTTTTGTGAAGAAAAGGGGGACTGGAAGTGGGAATGTCTGTTGCCTTTGAGGAAAGGAAAGCTCTTTGCGGGTCCTCTTCGTAATGATGGTGTAATGCAGATTGAGGAACAGATTGGCGGAATCGATAGACAGACAGATATCCCCCAAGGCCCATTGTGAGTCAAAGTGGCAAACTTTTTGCATTATTGGGCAACAAAGTTTGAGGTGTTTTCACCTCTCCCTTGCCTTTCCCTTTTTCTTTCTCTCTCGCTATAGTCCTGATTCGTACTTCAAATAGGCCAAACTCGAATTGAATATATAATGATCATGATCAATAACAGTTCAATGCCATTGCTTGTTTTCATTACTCTTAGAATTTTTCTTCTCTTTGAAGTGCAATTTAGCAGCTTCAGTTTATGGACATTAGGATATAACCTTAATTAGTAGTGTGGTTGAATGAAGCTGGATTGTACTGAACACATACTTTGAGAGTATAGATATTTGAGAGCTAGGAGCACTATGATCTACTGTTGATTGATATTCAAGTCTTTATCAAAAGTCATGTGAGCTATTGTGTTCGGAATGTTGTGGTTGTACTTCTGTTAGAGGTATTGTGTTGGAAAAGTCATGCATTCGTTTTGCATTTAGTTAATGAAGTATTTACCCAATTGTTGGTGATGGAAATAAACCATACAAATGCTAAAGGTTAATGATGATGCAAATGTTGGCAACATATTGGAGTTGGGAAATTTTTCATACTCAACCCTTGATATGGACAAATTCGGAAAGAATTGGAAATCAAGGGGCGTTTGCTTCGTATATTTGAAAAATCCTAGATTTATAATAGATTTGTTGGCATTATATATTTAAAAAAATTTATTGTTTGCATATTGGATTTTGCTAGATTACATTTGTGGATATGATGTATTTATTGTCCTCATCCAAATCCCACCTCCAATAATGTGATTTGTAAGCTTGTGTAACCCACGAAATTAGGCCATTAAAGTTCATATGAGGGGTGTTCAAATGGTTACCATGGTTATTACCAAACAAATAAGGCTAAATTTCATTAATCATGGAATACAATATCATAACCAAACCGTCCAAACTAATATAACAACCAAATTAACCAAACTAAAGTTTAATTGGTCTGGTTAATTGGTTAACCAGATTAACCAATATAAAATCACATTATCATTAAGTGAGAAAATTTTCGGTTAATTTATCAATTCACAATTTATATATTGAATAAAACATAACAATCAACCCATAGTTATAGTTGACCCTTAACATAAATACATGCAACTAAGACAATTATCTTACGGTTAGTATAGAAGTATTCACCTAATAAAAATTTATCACAATGGTATGGGTTAATGAATTGTTGTGTTTGTTTGATTGACTTAGTCTTTTAGCAATTTTCATAGGCTGAAAAGGACCTTGCTTTCAAGTTTTCATCCAACATAATGTACGAGATTTATCTAAACTAGGCGTTCATATGTTGTGGTCTACACTCTAAATATACAAATATACATTATAGGAACAATATCAAGCTTTATATTTTATGAGTCTAAAAGGGATGAACGTTTAACTCTTGAGTGGTTATTCAAAGTATTAAGTATGTGTATATATTAGATATATGGCTAACTATTTATCTGGTTAATTTGGTTTGGCTGGTTAGGAGTGTCTGAAACCAAACCAAACAAGCTAAGAACTTCAACCAAACCAAACCAATTTTCCAAATTAACCAAACCAAATTATCCAAATAATATTGGTTAAAACGGTTATCATGGTAACCACACCGTTTGAACACCCCTACATATACCCTACAAATTTTATAGAAAAAAATTACCAAACAAACAAAAGACTGATAAATCCATAATAAATTGAATGAGACATAAATGTCTCACCAAATCCACAAAACAAACAATCCTAAACCACCTTAGCCAAAACATTGCATGGGCAAAGATGTAAATCATTAGAACAATTACTTATCCGCACATATAAAAGGCCCCCGTTAGTTTTCCATGGTTGCCATACATCAAATCCAACTACAGAATTTCACTAATTAATAATAGACCCCTCCTTCATCATATTTTAACATATTTCTCAACAAATTTGTTCCCTCCATCTTTCTCTAGAAAAGAAAACATGAAGCCAAAAGTTAGAATCAACAAAGGTTTTCTTATACTTGGGTTACAGACAGATAACAACTGAACCTTACTGCCCCTACCATTAGTCCCCCCTCAATTTTTCTCCACTAACCACCCTATTGAAAGGTTGAAAACAAATTACTAAAGGAAAATCCTACTTCCCACCTTTTTCTTAAACCCTTTCCCGCCAAATCTCCTCTCACTAACCACAACTAATCATTTCCCCTCTGCCCTCCAACTTTTCCAAAAGCTCATGCAACGAACTCAACACTCCTATGCATCGTTCCAGGCAGCGAAAACAGGCAAGTGAGCCATGGAGATGGACTCCCTCATCTGGTTATTGGTGGCCTGGAACCAAGCAGGAATCGTGGCAGTCCCCGCAGCGGCAGGGCTGATGAACTTGGATGCAAGTGGCGGCTTAGCAAACAACATTGTATTAGCTGCTGCCGTGGTGTTGTTGTTGTTGTTGTTGTTGTTCACCTTATCAGGGCTACCTTCCCTTGAGCTGCTCAAGCTAGTCACCAGAGATGAAGGGTTGGACGAGTGTGAATGTGCTCCTAGCTTGGCTGACAAGGAATCCTCCACTGCATGGCCTGAACTCAGAGACTCGACCCCAATGAGGTCATGCAACATATAGGGGGAAGATGATGCCGAATTGTTGGTGCCGTAAAACACCGAGTTCCAGTCGGAGAGACTGCTACCTTGTCCATTCCCATTGCCGTTGTTTATGTTGTTGTTGCTTGGTGGCGATGTGTTATTGGTGGTGGTGGTGGTGGTTCTGGTGCTCTCAGGGTTAGTTGTTGTTAAGTAGCCAATGGCAGCAACTTCAGAAGTGATGGGCTGAGGTACTACTGGCTCTTTGTTTCTCCTTGCAAGCTCTCCGGCGAGGAGTGTGTTGCTAGCCATGATCTTCTCGACGTCGTATCGAGTTATGTCGAAGTTGGTCACCGCATTGACGCCACGGAACTTGATTGCAGCAATGTCGTATGCCTCGGCTGCTTCTTCTTGGGTGCCTGAAATGATTCCATGTGTTTATTCAGAGGTCATTAACCGTTTGGGTAAACAGGAAAAAATGGAAAAGAAAGTAATGGGGATTGGTCCAAAAAGTGGCCAAAGCAACCAAGCAGCCAGCCACCATTGATCAGCCTTATGAAAAGCTACTATCCAGTCTCTAGTGGAGACGTGGGAGCAGAGTATATGACATGTCAAAAACATATTAAAAGAACGCTCTTTATGCAGAGATGGAAATACCCAATTGGATAAAATACAAGTATTTAAGTTGGTTTGAAAAGGGTTGTTCAAATTAAAGTGAAACAACTGATATTTTAGACTCATGCATAATGGTTCTTAGATGATACTCACTGAAGGTGCCAAGATAAAGGTCCTTGTTTCCTGCAACTCTGCCTATTCGTGCTTGCCATCTACCATGCTGATGATGCCTAAACAAATAGTTAAGGGTAAACAAAAACAGAACCAGAATCAGCAAAGCATAAAAAGAAACTCTTTGGCAGATAAGCACAAAAAATTGGGCTGGAAATGGTCTTCTTTATTGGTTTAAACTTTGTCAGTATGTGAAAAGAGAAGTAGAAAAAGCAAATGGGGACTCGACCAACCTTGTCACTCCTCTATACATTGAGGCCCCTCTTGAAAAACCACTGCTTTTCCTGGCAACCCAAATTAGAAAAAAGGTTAGGCACCGAAAGGGCAATACGAACACATTACAAATCCACTTTTTCTAAACTAAATCCCAACAGAATCTGATCTTAAAACCGCTTTTAATCCAACCTTCTCAGATGGGCAACATATTCCTGGCGGCTCATGTTCTTCATCTCTTCAAGCTCTGCTCTGTAATTCTCCAGCTGGTAAAAGAAAAATATTTTAACTTCCCATTGTCAAGCTCAATCGAGAGAACTCAGTCAATAAAAAAATTCTGGTGAAAGTTAGAATGGTCATTATTACCGGAAAGTTAATGTGGGTAGAAGGTCCCCAGTACTTGAGTGCTGCAAGATCATAAGCTCTAGCTGCTTTCTCTTCCATATCATAACCCCCTAGAATACAAACAATGACCATCTAATCAAAATTATTTACTGTCATTGGCAAAGTATGAAACCTCACTTCACACCCATGCAGAGGAAAAAACAGAGTGAACGGGTTCTCTCACTCACCCAGATACACTGTAGAGTAGTTGCACCATTGATGGAAACAGCATCACACAGAAGAGCATAACAAGCCATGAAGGTAAGAACAAAACGCAGTCAGACTTTGAATGGCAGAAATGTACAAACAAGCAACCAAACAAGAATGGCAGTTTACGACAATGGCCAAACATGGAACGAATTTACTGCTGAAGAATGGAAGAGAGAGGGAGAGGAGAGAGAGAGAGAGTGGCTAACCTTGCCTCCCTTTCCTGGTCTGTCCTTCTTTCTTGCAACTATTGTCCCATAGATGCGCTTCATACCGACCGGTCCAGCGATGTCTGCGGCATTTCATCAAACATTTGGTAAGCGTTGTTAATAATGATGAAGAAACAACAGAAAAACCAGCATCCCATCCCTAGAGAAATTACTTCTACAGACCTAGTGACCCCACGGTACTGGGAAGTCCGCTGGCCGAAAGTGTCGATGGACTTCCGGTGAACTGTCTGCTTCTGGCCGGATTTCTCCGGCAGCGCTCGCTTCTTGCTCTCCATCCCACCCATACAATGTTCAGACACCACGGCACTCCCATTGTTGTTGTTATTGGGAGAAGGAATGGAGCTGGACTTGGAACCAGGACTCATCGACAAAGTCAGCGACTGTAACTCTCCACCGCAGCCCGCGGCCGCAGCAGCTGCTTCATCCACGTAGCCTCCGCCGCCGATCTGGTGGTGATTGGAATCGATGTAGCGGGAGACCCAGCAGTTGCGGAGGGTCGGGATCTCATCAGTGCCGGCGCCGTCGATTTCGCCGGCGGCCGTGGGCGGGAGGTGAGAATGGGAATCCGCGGCGGAGAGATGATGATGATTATTATTCTTGTCGGCATTGGGAGATGGTGGGGCCTGCTGAAGCCACTGGATTCCAGGGTAATACGACAGCGTTTGGGTCTGAAACTGGTGGTATTGCTGCTGCTGGTGGTCCAAGTGTTGCTGTTGTTGACGGTGAATGTTCCCCTCCTCCGCCGTAGGCTGGTGGTTGAAGTAGAAGGAGTCGAGGCTTAAGGGGAATGCGTTCCTGTCGTCCGCTCCGCCGTGGTGGTGGCCGCCTTCGCCGGCGGCGTAGTGTCCGCCGCCGAGGAAGTCCTCGAGTTTGGGGGAGGAGGAGGAAGAGGAGCTCTGTGGGGGAGCCATGCCTGTACAAATTTAATTAAATATTGGTAAAAAAACTAATCATTTCTTTAGTTAATAATAATAATAATAATAATATAATAACTAAGTAATAATAATAATGAGAATGATGAGAGGACCTTGGGAAGGTGGTTGTGATCTAGAGAGAGCTTCCATAATGCAGAGGGAGCCGTCGGACTTGAGGGGCATGACGGTCAAAGGAGAGTGATGGTGGAAGCCGCCGCCGTCGTAAGAGATTCCGGGGGAGGGGTTGTTGCCGGAGAGGTAGAGGGCGGCGGTGTGGTGGTAGTGTTGGTGGTTGTTGTTGTCGGCGTCCATTTTCATGTGTGGGGAGAGGGAAAAGCCCAACCAGCTGCTGGAGCTGCTGCCGCTGCCGCCGTTGTTGCTGTCACAGCTCATAGCGCAGATTAGGGAGAAGAGGGGAAAGAGGGAGAAGTTGTTGAGACTTACTTGAGAGTGAGTGAGTTTGTAGTGGTGGTGGTGGTGGTGGGTTTGAAGTTTGGAGAAGAGAAGAGAAGAGAACAAAAGCTGTCTCTTTAAACCGAAACAAAAGGAATGAGTATTATATATATTGCAAGCATTATTGGTTTTATTCATTATATTATATTATTATGTTTCCATATATATATCTACACATGGCGCATTTAGAATGAAAATGTATAGAGGGGGGAAATGGCGACAGAGGAAAAGAAAAGAGAGCAGTATAATAGTATAGAGTGTGGCGCATCCCTGTATTTATGTGGTTTATTTTGTTATATATTATGGTGGTGTAGTATGATTTCATTTCTCATTTCAATATTAAATAAAATAAAATAGTCTTGCCTTGTTGACTGTTGTTGTTTTTATTTGTTTGTTAATATGTAAAATGTGGGTTGATGATAGTAGCAAGGAAGCTAGCAAGTTGTTGTTGCCTGTTGGTGTTGTAGTATGTGTGCCATAGCATAGCATAGGGATCTGTGTAATGAATATATATAACATGAGAAAGACCCATCTCTACCACTTCTATATATGCTCCTCTGTATCATGCTTTTTTGCTTTTTCCTTCTCTCTCTCTCTCACTTTGGAGGAGAGGAGAGGAGAGGAGCCGAGCCGAGGCTTCTTCTACGGTGTTGTTCCTTCCGGGAGATGCCCCACCACCACCACAACAACGAACTTTAGCTTACGGTACTGTGGGGCATATAGATAACAGAAATGATAATGATAAACTAATGATACCCGTAAACCCTAATTTGAAGGCAAACACAGATGAAGAAATCAATTAATAAACACCAAAACCCGGAAATGAATGAATTTCTCTCTGTATCTCTTTAGGAGCAAGCAGAAGCAGTTGTCATGAGAATGCCTGCCTGCAGTGGTGCAGCTACAAAGGAAGGGAAGAAGAGGGGTTTGATTGGGTCAGCAGAAATCTAGTGGGTACCAAATACCCAATAGCTGAGAGAGAGAGAGAGAGAGTAGGGCAGTAGGAGGCTACAACTACAGCCTACAGACAGAAAGAGGCAGACACAAGGAGAGACCCTAAACGGGTTATTTGGGTTTCATGACTTCATTTGCCTCTCCTCTCACTCTCTTTCTCTTCTCTTCCCTCCATTTTTGTCTTCTTACTTCCCTTTTGTTTTTGTTTTTGTTTTTGTGTTTTAAAATTTAAACAGCTTTGCTGCAGTGAGTGAAGAGAAGAGAAGAGAAGAGGTGCAGTGGGAAAGAAAGGACATGTGTCTGTCTCCTCTAGCGGTCACCTCATTCACAAGTCACAGCCCCACTCCTCCCATTCAATCCTCACCCTTCTCTAATTCTTAATTCTTTCTTTTTAGGCTAAATTGCAAGTTTGGTCACTCGAACTGTTACAAAATTTCATGTTTGATCACTCGAATTCGTTTATTCCATTTGTAGTCACTTAAATTAGTTGAACAGTTCAAGTTCGGTCACTCTCCGTTAAGCTCCGTCAGACTCCGTTAGTGTCGTCAGTTAACTGCTGACGTGGCTAACAAAGATGTCTAATCACCCAATTTTAACCCAAGAAAAAACAGAAATTGATCCGCCACGTCAGAAAAACATGACACCTCATATAAACACAGCCCAACCCACCCAACCTAAAAAAATCATTAACCCACCCAGAAATCGAACCCGTGACCCATCCACCCTTCTTCTTCTTCCTCTATACCCTACAGCTGCCGCTGCCGGGGGATTTCCCCTCCATCTCCCTGCTACAAAACCGTCATTTCTAACTTAGCCATGAACAATTACCCAAATTGGATCAAACAAGGCAACCAAGGAACACACAATCCGAATTCCAATTACCCAAAACAGCATCCATTACCCAAATTGAAGAGGGGGACAAAGAAGGGAAGCAATAAGGGACTCACAGTGCTCCCCCAATGATCGTGAGCGTCGATATTGGCCCTCCCGCTGAGCAAAAGCTTGACGACCTGTGCGTTTCCCTCGCAGGCGGCAATGTGGAGCGTGGTCCTCCCGTCGAGGTCGATGTTGTTGACATCAATTCCTTCGTTCAACAAATCCTCGACCCCTCGCGCGTCGCCGCGGGACGCCATGAACAGCAGCTGCATCGTGCAGTCCAAGTTCTCCGGGACCGCCAGCAGCTCCTCCTTGATCGGGCTCCGCCGTATGGGATCCAGCGACGACTGTCGGCCGAAACTGAACCGATAAAGGGAAAATCCCCCGGCGGCAGCAGATGTAGGGTATAGAGGAAGAAGAAGAAGGGTGGATGGGTCACGGGTTCGATTTCTGGGTAGGTTAATGGTTTTTTTTAGGTTGGGTGGGTTGTGTTTATATGAGGTGACATGTTTTTCTGACGTGGCGGATCAATTTCTGTTTTTTCTTGGGTTAAAATTGGGTGACTAGACATCTCTGTTAGCCACGTCAGCAGTTAACTGACGGCACTAACGGAGTTTGACGGAGCTTAACGGAGAGTGACCGAACTTGGATTGTTCAACTAATTTAAGTGACTATGAATGGAATAAACGAATTTAAGTGACCAAACATGAAATTTTGTAGCAATTCGAGTGACCAAACTTGCAATTTAGCATTTCCTTTTATTTCCTGCATCTATATATGACGATTAGTATTATTATTATTGCATTACCCTTTAATTCGACACCACCAAATCTATTATATTTGTCTGATCTGTTTGTTTGGATCGGTAATACTCACATCGGGGATTATTGCACTACCTAGGGCTGCAAATAAGCCAAATAGTTCATGAGCAGCTCTATTTTCAGTTCGGAAACCCGTTTGAAACTTACCTCGTTTACTGATGAGCCGAGTTCAAGGTGCGCCTTGTTCAATTTGTAAGGCTCGCGAATCAGCTCGACTCGGTGGCTTATTGAGCTAACTAGTTTGTGAGCTATGAAATGGGTCGATAGTATGGTTAGCGAGCCTCCTCCACTAGCAACCTAAGGGCGAATTTATTAAATACTAATTATATCATGTTTAAGACTATGAAGACATGAACACATGTGTCTCATTTATATGAAAATTATGTATTATAGATTGTTTAAATGCTAATTTTTATCAAATAACATCATATGAAATTTAAAATTTATGAACTAAATGATATGATACCTCAACTAGAGCCTATGCCGCAAGCTGATTGATGAGCCAAACTCGAATAGAGCTTGTGAGCTCATTAACAAGGCAAGCTCAAGTCAAGCTTGAGTCAAAGGCAAACTAAGGTTTTAGTAAACAAGTCGAGCTTAGCTCAAATTGGATAAAAACTCAGCTCAACTCGACTCATTTGCAGCCCTACGACACTATCCTTGTGTCTCGCCTCTCACCTCTATTGATAAATAATGATTGATTATGTTAAATTAACTTGTGTATGTGTGATTGATAGTAATTAGGGATAATTTATAATCGAAACGCTCGAGAATTTCATGATGCACATTGCTCCAATTCGGAGATAGTACCTTCGGGTCATCTCCAATAGAGATATAAAATGTTAACAAATTCAAAATACCCCCTCCAACAACCCAACATGTCAAAAGTTGTAACTTTGGGGCAAAATTTGGAACTTTAGCCCTCCTTATCGGAGATTATCGTATTACTCAGACTAAATGCAATTTACTAGCCAAACATTGTAAACTTTTCAAATTATTAGTTAACTCTTTTGAAATATTAAGTATTAGCCAATAGTTAACTCCTCGTTAGAATTACTATTATTCATGCTAACTTGACAACATAATATTGAGTTGAAAGAGACATATAGTGGTCAACATTCCAATTTTATTATTTTAATTAATAAATTAGTTACAAAATTATTAACGCTGACAGACAGACAAATGACTAATATTTTAATACATTATAAATGATTTGGTTAATTAATTGTGTTTCAAAATATTTGGCTAGTAATTAAGAAAATACAAGTTTGACTAATAGATTATATTTACTTGATTACTTATAATTTGACTATATCTTAACCAAATTTTGGTTTCTTACCATTTCTGTTGCATCAACCAGTTGATCCATACAATTTATGATTTGCACGTATGATAACTAAGGGTGTTTAAACGAAGTGTTTATCATGGTAACATTTTTTTGTCAAAGAAAATTGGTTGGAATAGATAGTTACATCATAAAAGCATACCGTGGTAACCATTTTAACTAGTATTATTTATATCATTTGGTTGGGTTAATTTAGATAATCGGTTTGGTTAATTTTTTTGTCAGTTTGGTTTGGTTTGGTTTCACACACTCATAACCAATTAAGCATATGTCTAATATATTATATACACATTCCTCTCTTTTTGAACCATAAAAATTAAAAAAAAAAGTTCATTATTGTTCTTATAATATATTTGTTTTGGTTAAGTTACTACATCTAATAACAGTAACATAATTATATTAGTTGCGTATATTTATGTTAAAGATTAACTATGTGTTAATTGTTATGTTTTATTTATTATATAAATTATTGTTTGATGCATTAACATATTAACATGAGATTTTTCTCACATAATAATATGTTATATTGATTTACATGGTTAACCAATTAATCAAATCGAATATTAAATATTAGTTAGGTTAATTTGATTGATGTATTAGTTTGGTCTTATAATATTGTATTTCATAATTAATGGAATTTAGACTTATTTAATTTGGTAATTAACATAATAACATTGAACACCCCTAAACTCATAACAATAATGCATAGCATGGGAGGCAAAGGGAATTTGTTTCATCTATCCTAGACCGACAAGATTAAGTCTTTAAAATCTGCAGTTTCCACCCGTGGAAATCAACTAAAAAATAATTTCCTAATTATAAAAGCACAAAATTCGCCTTTGATTCATCAACCTAGGATAGATGATTAATTGATTGTGTAATTAACCTATTTGAGCTGACAGCATTATTTCATGGAATGCCGCAACCGAACAAATATGTGATCATAGTAGTGAAGTGAAGTGTTGACATATCATTATTTGCATGCATCTTTTATTGTCATTTTGGTCGACTGGATGGTTGAATTCGTGTTGGTTGCATCTTCTTGTCACTTCCAAACTTGGAGAGCTTCTATCACACCCAGTTATTGCACTGGTTGTGCAATTGACTCTCGTTATTGAGATCAATCGATTGATAGAGTTTCCGCATTATCTTTGCAAATCCGATAATCCAAATGGGTGAATGACCCTTTAGTTCAGTTAGTTCATTCCTAACTGAACAGAATATCCGCCTTCTTACAATTACATTCTTGTCTACAACTATGCAGCTTAAGAAAGGACCGAAAGATAGCTTACGGGTGAGGTCAAGAGGAGAGGAGAGCAGCTGCTGCTGTGCTGCATGAGGCAGGCAGAAGAAGGATGCATCTTCTCCTCTCTTTTATTAAGGTCTGATTGGATGATGCGACCCTTTGCTGACTCTTTTTGTGCCGCTTTATTATTTTCTTGAACCATTTCCTTTTTCTTTTTGCCCCAAATCTGACACGCCGTGACCATATTAGTTGTGGCTGTCCCATTACAAAAGTGATCGAATAACCCGCGCTTGGCTCTCGATCAAAAGGAGAGCAAAAAGGAAAAGTGAAAGTAGAATAATAAACCCTCCACCACCCACAAATGGGATATTCATTTCAGTTTCGTCACGATCATGCTTCTGCCCAGAATTTTGGTTCATTTGGATATAAGGAACTCGGATGTGGAGACCGTTTAGAATGACAATTATTTTTGGATGGTTTGTATGAGTTATTTGATATTGAAGTTTATCAATTCAAACAGAATGAGTCATTTTTAAATGATTGTTTGGGTCGTTTGGATGTGGTATTTGTCAGACCTGTTATTTGGGATCAATTCAATACAAATAGCACATGTCACAATACCTTATTATTTGTTCTGTGGTATTTGTATGAAATATCACGTTGGAATGAATTATAAATAGTGGTATTGTTGATATGATATTTGCACTCAAATTTGTATTTTACCAATTTGTCCTTCTTCATCTCGGGATTTTTCCAATAATAGCGCGTATAATTTTTTTTTACAAAACTAGCACTAAGACGAAAAAATTGACATAAATAGCACTTTTTTTAATGGAACGCACCTTAAGGTGCGTTTTATAAGTAAACTGCACCCTACAGGTGCATTTTACTTATAAACCGCACCTTAGGGGTGCGTTCCACGACACGTCAGCAAGCAAACCGCACTAGGAAGGTGCGGTGTGCCTTCTCTGCGGAACGGTCTTCAAGACCGTTGGATGGAGGAGCGATCGGACGATGGACCGCGTGCCAGCAGAGCGATCCGCGCCATGGATTGAGGACCGCAACTGCAAGGCGCGGTCAGTGCCTCGTGACTCGCAAACCGCCTCGGCAAGCAGCGGTTTTGTGTGGGGCAAAATTACCCGACCGCCCATGGGGGGTGCGGTCTGATGGGTATAAATACCCCCTCCCCCCCCCCCCCCCCTCTCAATTCTTCACACCACAACCATTCTCACTCTCTCTCTCTCTAGAATTATCTCTCTAAACCCTCTCCTCCCCTCCCAAAATTCTAGGAAATAGTGGTCTGTTGGTTGCGGCTAAGTCCGATCTGCCATCAGAAAACATTTCTTATGTTTTTTCCTCAAAACCCGCCGAGCCGAATCTCTGTCCGAATTTTGGTTTTTTCCTCAAAACCCGCCGAGCAACGCCGAATTTTTGTTGTTGTTATAAGCTTTTTAATTAATCTATGTACTAACCTCGTTGTTATTTTCTCGTAGGTTGGGGAGAACGTGGATATATATAACCAACGGTATTATCTCGAGCAAGGACCATTGGAACCAACCGACTTGTACGACCAACCCAACCATCGATCAAGGGATAATATGATAATATGTATGTATCTCTTTAAATTATTATTGATTTAGAATGTTATTATGTTAATTATATGAAATGTCTTTTTATGATAATAAAATTCTGCTTGAAGTTAAATAATTTAATTTAATTAATTTAGTTATAAGGAAATAAGCCTTACTAATATATAATAATTAACATGTAAATTTTCGCTAGGAGGCACAAACAATACTCCGCTACAGGGGTACGACCAATGTACTCTCATTCCACCCAGCTATCTTGCCCTTTCTCAAAAGGAGCATACTACGATTCCCGCCCGGTCTACCCCCCATCTCCCCGCCAAACATCATCGGGTACTTGGCATGATGGTTCCTCCACGATGGCGCACCACGAATTCAACCCATTGACTCGCCCTCATCAGCAGTGGCCTCCTACTCCTCACCGTATGAGCGCGGATGTCCCCCGCTCGACCCCGGAAGCGT